TTCAATCAAATTTCCTGCCCCAAGCTTCTCCATTTCCCCAGGATCTCCTGAAATTTGGTCAACTTTTAGTGTGAATTACAGCAACTCCAGGAAACATTTCTCAGCACTGGAACTGCTGGATAAACGCTTCTACAGGACTTTACATGCGATGACACACTTAATGCTCATGACAAACCTGCAACAAAGATTGATGACCTCCATTTTATAGATGAGAAAACAGAGACTCAGAGGGGTTGGGGAACTTGCCCAAAGACACACAGCTGGGACGCGGCATGCTCCAAGTCAGGTGCTCTTCACTCCTCGGTAGGAGACCGCAGAGGCCGGGGGCTGCGGTGGTGTGTTAGAGCATTCTTGCATTGCTATAAAGAGATACCTGAGACTGGGTCATTGTAAAGAAAAGGTTTCTTTGGTTCATGGTTCTGCAGGCTGTACACGCATGTGGTCAGCATTTGCTCGACTTCTGGTGAGGAGGCCTTCAGGGAGCTTTTACTCCAGGCAAAATGTGAAGCAGGAGCAGACACATCCCATAGCCAGAGCTGGAGCCAAAGAGAGAAGGGGGAGGTACCACACATTTCTAAACAATGAGACCTGAGGCGAACTCACTCGCCAAGGGGATGGCGCCAAGCCATTCGTGAGAAACTCGCCCCCGTGATCCAATCACCTCCCACCAGGCCCCACCTCCCACATCGGAGATGACATTTCAACATGAGATTTGGGTGGGACAAATATCCAAACCATATCAAGGGTGCCTGTAGCAGGAAGCCTCCTAGGACACCTTCTGTCCTTACAGGGAACACACACAGTGGCCCAACCTGTATCTGAGGAGAAAGTGCTGTTGCCCTCGGGAGTCAGCCTGCATGCAAAGACCTAAAAGGGGATGGATTCGGGACAGAGAGGGCAGTGGAATTAGGGAAGACCCCACTTGGTGCTGTGGGAGCCTGAGGAGGGAGTGATGGGGAAAGTCTGTGTTTTAAAGCTGATGTTTCCCAGAAGTAAGCAGTTTGTTTTAAACAACGTTAAATATCCCTGGATCCCCTAGTGAAAAAACATGAGGCCCTTTCATCGCTTGCCCTGCTGATGGAGGAGGCAAGAATCGCAATTTGGTGCTATTGTGTCTTAAACATTATTCTTTTTTTTTTCTTTTTCTTTTTTTTGAGACAGAGTGTCTTGCTCTGTTGCCCAGGCTGGAGTACAGTGGCGCAATCTCTGCTCACTGCAACCTCCACCTCCTGGATTCAAGAAATTCTCCCCTCTCAGCCTCCCGAGTAGCTGGGATTACAGGCACACACCATCACACACAGCTAATTTTTGTATGTTTAGTAAGACGGGGTTTCACCATGTTGGCCAGGCTGGTCTCGAACTCCTGACCTCAAATGATCCTCCCACCTTGGCCTCCCAAAGTGCTGGGATTCCAGGCATGAACCAATGTGACTGGCTTCCCTTTCTTAAGTTTAAACAAAAACGAGCCACATGTCAAGCTTCTAGGACTCTCAGGCAGGTAGTAGCATCTCACTAAATTTCAACTGCTGCCTTTGATTTTCTTGTATTTAGTTGTTACACTTTAATGTATTTTGTTTTATGATAAGTTGGTTGTTCTGTTTAAGTAATACTTACACAACATCTACTAAATGCCGCACACTGTTCTAAATGCTTTATAAATGTTGACTAATTTAATTCTCCCAGGGACCTATGAGGCAGGTGCTGTGATTATTGTTATTCCCATTTACAGATTAGGATGTTGAGGCCCAGAAAGGTTAAGCAAACTGCCCGAGGCCACAAAGCCGAGACCAGCCAGCTCCACAGCCTGTGTCTTAACCAGCGTGGCACACACTGTCTGTCTATTTCATATCAGTTATCTGTTGATGGTTGTGGTATAACATTTTTTGAGACATGGTTATTGGAGTAACAAATAGAAGGCAAGGTAAGCTCAATAGCAAGTGGATAATTAATTGCACCAGCGAAAACCTCAAAGGCAATAGACCAGTGGCAGGAGTTCTGGGACGCTCCAGCGTGGCTGCAGGGATACAGCACGTGGACCGTGAAAGCTGAGTTGAGAGGGTGGCAGGGGAAAGGTGTTGGAGGGGAGGAGTCTGCTCTGGCAGAGGCAGAGACGCATGACAGAGCCTGGGCTGCCAAGGAGACAATGAGTAATTCAGGGCAGTCAGCCAGTAATGGCAGGAAACCCGTGGACTGGTACAGCTCTTCACAGTCCACGAAGCATTACCACATCTGCTTTCTCACAGCCTCTCCTTCACTGCCAGGTGCAGTGAGCACTGTGATCCCCATTTCAGAGATGGCAGCTGAGTTCAGAGAGTAAAAGAGCCAGAGAAGAGCTACTATTGGCTCCAAGATCTTCTGGCTTCAAAATCTGAGCCCTTCTCTCTACTCCACTGTGTCATGGATCTTTGGTGGCAGGCGACAGACCTAGACTTCAACATGATTGAGCAACATAGGTGGTTTTTGGCTCATGGAAATGAGAAGTCCACAGGGTGGACATCAGAAACAGCTGGATCCAGGACCTCATATAATGTCATGGGGACTCTTGATCTGTATTTCTCAGTTTGGATGTCACTTTTCAAGGAGGCTCTCTCTAAGAGGGGACAAAGATGGCTACAAGCTCTCTGCAGACACCAAAAATTGCCAGTTTTCTAGAAAAAAAAATCGGTGCCCGAGTTGACATCCATCCCTGGTGCAATCACTGTGGTCAGACAGATGGGCTGCTTTGATTGGCCAAGCGTGGGTCAGGAGCCCACTTTGTGGGGCATGGGGCGGAGTCAGCCTCATACAAACCACTACAGGCAGCTCAGATCGAGGAGCTCTTTGGGAAGAGACGCCGGGCAGGCAGCGGCAGCAGGTACCCCCTCCGCATCCCTAGTGCTCTGTGATATAGGCAGAGGTAAGAAATTAGAAGGGATGAGGAGTTTTTTGTCTGTTTGCTTTTTTAAAGACAGGGCCTCACTCTTTCATTCAGGCTGGAGTGCAGTGGTGCAGTCACGGCTCACTGCAGCCTGGACCTCCTACACTCAAGCAGTCCTCCTTCCTCAGCCTCCTGAGTAGCTGGGACCACAGGGGTGCGTCACCTGGCTAACGTATTTTTACTTCTATTTTTATTTTTGGTAGAGACAAAGTCTTGCTATGTTGGTCAAGGTGGGGATGAGGAATCTTGAACCTGGGCAAAGGAATTCACACTTTCTGCTGTGCTGTGGTCAAGATAAAGCCATCAGGGAGTGACGGGGACAGAGCTGTGTCAGGGCTCACGCTGTGGCTGGGGTGATGGATGTGGACAGAATGGCGGGGGAGGCAGACACAGACTCCCCCTTCTGCGATCAGAGGCCACCTCTTCGAAGCGTGGTAATGGGGCCTCTGCAGGGGCTGGAATCACACAAGCTCCATATTCATAAAAGCAGGTTGAAATCGCATCTGCCCCCAGCGTGATTTTATTTGAGTAGCGATGCTGTTGCTTAGGATGATGCTGCAGTTAAATTTTTAAGGGCACTTATTTATAGAAAATATATTAAAAATATATATTTGAATAAACAACAGTGTACACAATGTACCAATATGGCTAAAATTTTGGAAGTGAGATATTTGGGCATCTCTTGACTAGATCATTCTGAGACCCCTCCGTTTCTGATGCTCTACATTCTTATCAATTACCGCTGCTAGTTGAGTGTTTATGCGATGGGGGCCATGCCCAGGGTTTTATGCAAATCACCTCCTTGAATTCTCATAAGAGGCCTGGAAGCAGGCCTTGCTGTTTCCACGTTACAAGGCTCAAAGCAGGCAGGGCACTGGCCTGGAGCTGCACAGCTGGTCATCTGAACCTCCCTGGCTCCCAGCCCGTGCCCTGCCTCAGTGGTTCTTTGGTGACTTTGTGAAGGAGGTCAGAGGGAACTATGGATGGGGCCAGGATCTTTGGGAAGATCCTGGCACAGAGGCAGAGGGTTTTCCCTTTGTGGAGACAGCGCCTAGAGAAAGCCAGCCTATCACTTGCTTCCTGCAGCGGGCATCTCTCCTGGGTTTAGCTTTTAGCTCCATTATTATTATTATTATTATTTTGAGACGGAGTTTTGCTCTTGTTACCCAGGCTGGAGTGCAATGGCACAATCTCGGCTCACCACAACCTCCGCCTCCTGAGTTCAAGCGATTCTCCTGCCTCAGCCTCCCAAGTAGCTGGGACGACAGACAAGCGCCACCATGCCCAGCTAACTTGTATTTTTAGTAGAGATGCGGTTTCACCATGTTGACCAGGATTGTCTCGATCTCTTGACCTCATGATCCACCCGCCTCGGCCTCCCAAAGTGCTGGGATTACAGGCGTGAGCCACTGCGCCAGCCTTCTCTCTTCTTTAGATAGGTAAATACAGAAGTTTAATTTCACACAATGCTATACTGATAGGCTCAGCAAAGGCAAAATAGTCAGTAATCTCCAGTCACCTGCTGGGCATGGTGGCACACACCTGTCATCTGAGCACTTTGAGAGGCCAAGGAGGAGGATTACTTGAGCCCAGGAGTTTGAGACCAGTCCAGGCAACATAGCAAGACGTCATCTCTACTAAAATGTTTTCAAAACGAGCTGGGCGTGGTGGCATGTGCCTTTAGTCCCAGCTACTCAGGAGGCTGAGGCAGGAGGATCACTTGAGCCCAGGATGTTGAGGCTGCAGTGAGCCGTGATTGTGCCACTGCACGCCAGCCTGGGCAACAGATTGTGACCCCATCTCTAAAAATATTAAAATAAAATCATAAAATAAATTCACTTAGCATTTGGGATGTGACGGTGGGGCAGGAAGCATGTAGGAGAAGGGACTCTCAGGGTGAATCTGCCATTTCTAAGAGGCGGGAGTTCTTGGGGTCATCCACAGGGGCCCCCAGGATCTTGCTTTTTTCTTAAGACAGTTCCAAGAATCTGGGGCAAGTCTGCCTGGGAAGAGACAGGATGAGGGGAGGTAAGGGGAGCCCTGAACCCTGCCTGGGCTCACCCTCCGCTGTCATCTCTTGCAGGTCCGTGGGAGTCAGCATGCCGCGTGGCTCGGCCGTCCCCTTGCTCCTGCTGCTGCTCCAGGGAGGTAAGTGGCTTCCCTGTGGTCTGCAGGTGGGGAGGGCCCCCATCCCGGAGCTCAGCTGGGGCTGTGCTGGCTTTGTGGGCGCAGAAACACGGCTAGAGTCCACAGATCCAGAATGGATGGCACCTGTGCCCTTGAGGCCGACACAGCTCCAGTAGCCAGCTCTCCACTAGCCAGAGTCCATCCACCAAAGCGCTTCATGAACCAGAAGTGGTACACGTGAGTCTCAGGTGGCTCAACCTGAGGGCTGTGTCTTCGGGTGCCGCTGCGGGGATGAGAGGCTTCCTCCTTTCTTTCCCCTGCACTCTGCCTTAGCTGGCTCCCAACTCTCTGAGTGAGGAAGTTCTGTCTTCCGTCTAACCTCAGTTTCCCCTTCTGTAATGACTCTCCTTGGAAATGTTGTTCAACAGTTGCTGGGCTGGGTGGGGTGGCTCATACCTGTAATCCCAGAACTTTGGGAGGCCAAGGCGGGGAGGAGGTCGCTTGAGCTCGAGACTAGCCTGGGCAACATGGGAAAACCCTGACTTTACAAAAGAAGAAGAAAAGCCAGGCATGGTGGCACATACTTGTAGCCCCAGCTTCTTAGGGGCTGAGGCAGGAGGATTGCTTGAAGCTGGGAGGTGGAGGTTGCAGTGAGTCAAGGTGACACCACTGTACTCCATCTAGCCTGGGCCACAGAGTGAGACCCTGTCTAACAACATCAAACAAACAAAAAAAAACAATCGCTGGATTCTTAGCAGACACTGGTGGCCCCTGGGTTGGGAATGGGAGGAAGAGCCAAAAGGAGACTGAATCTTGGTAGGCAGCCCCTGGGAGACCAGATGTTGAGGTCAGAGGGGACCATGTTAGAAAGCAGAGCTGGGAAGGGCAGGAATCTGACTGAGGGGGGCGCTATCTAGGACTAAGAGATCCCAGGAGCCTTCCTGGAGGAGGGGGCCATGAGGAGGCAGGATCCAGCACAGGCTTGTGTGGAGGCCGGCCTAGGGGCAGGAGAGGAACTGAATGGCTGCTCTGCTGACTCATGGGCATTTTTCTCTGGTTTTTACCAGAAGACCCAGCACCTCAAATAGCTCCTTCAGGAAACAGATGTCAAGCTTTGATTTTCCCTTTCTGAGTGGTGACCATCCCCGTCTGGGTTCTAAAAAGCCTTTGGGTCACCCGCCGTGGCTCCACAACAGTCAGGTGCAGCTAACAAGCCCGGGCTGCAGGCAGAGCTCAGAGCATCATCTCATTCCAGTCTCCCAACAGCCCCGCAAGGCCCCTGTTGTAATGACGCCCAGCTTTCGGTTGAGGAAACTGAGGCTCAGAGAGGCTAAGGGACAGGTGCATGGCCACATCCCTGGGCAGAGGCAGAGCTGGGATCAGTTCCCTGCTCTTGAGGTCTTAGTCTGTTTGTGCTGCTGTGACTGAATACGTGAGACTGGGTCATTTATAAACAACAGGCATGTATTGCTCACAGTTGTGGGAGCTGGGAAGTCCAAGGTCAAGGCATCAGATTTGGTTCCGGTGATAGCCCCATCTTTGCTTCTTTTTTTCTTTTTCTTTTTTTTTTTTTTTTTGAGACTGAGTCTTGCTTTCTCACCCAGGCTGGAGTGCAATGGTGCAATCTCGGCTCACAGCAACCTCTGCTTCCCGGGTTCAAGAGATTCTTGTGCCTCAGCCTCCTGAGTAACTAAGATTACAGGCACACACCATGGCTAATTTTTGTATTTTTAGCAAAGATGGGGTTTCACCATGTTGGCCAGGCTGGTCTTGAACCCGTGACCTCAAATGATCCTCCCACCTTGGCCTCCCAAAGTGCTGGGATTACAGGCCTGAGCCAACACACCTGGCCCCCATCTTTGCTTCTAAGATGCCACCTTGAATGCTGCACCCTCCAGAGCGGATGCAAGCTGGGTTCTCATATGGCAGAAGGGACAGAAGGGCAAAGTGGGGCTGAATGTTGGGTTCCTCCAGCCCTCTTATTGGATCAATAATTCATTCGGGGGGCTCTGCCTCCATAACTTAATCGCCTCCTAGAGTTTCCCGCCTTTTAATACGATCCCGTTGGCAACTGAGTCTCAGCGTGTGAGTTCTGGGGAGACACAGACATTCAAACCACAGCCTGGCCCTCATCCCCACACTGTGCCGCTCTGTTGAGCGATCGCCGTGTCCGGGCAGTGTGTGCTGCACAGGCACGATCTCATCTCAGCACCTCGGCACCCTCTAGGGCAAGCAGCATCCTCCGGCTTACATGTGGGGAGCAGAAGCAGTTTTGAGTCATGTGTTTACAGTCACAGAGCTGGGGACGGCACAGCCACTTGTGCGCCTCTCACTGCCTCCAGCATGCTGTCATAACCCCAGACGTGGCATGGCCCGGGGACTCTCTGCACTGTGGCTGGGGGCACTCGCCACACATTTGCCCACCCTCTCATCCCTGGTGCCACCTCCAGGCCAGTCCAGAGGCTGCTGTTGCCTCCCCAAGTTTGGAGACAAACCCTGTCCCTTGGTAGCTTTGAACCTGGCTAGGAATGGCAGCTCCTCTCCCAATTCCTAGAGCCTTGAGAAAGAACCACAAAGACATAAACGCAGAGATGACACAGCTACTGAGAGGCTCTGGGTTGAGGCTTTGCCAAAATCAGTCCTGTTTCCTCTGCCAAGTGCTGGAACTAGCTCCTCGGCATCCCACCCACAAGTCCCGTGTGCCTCCCCGAGGAAAGCCCCTCCTAGAGCAAGATTGATTTCCACGACTCAGACCCCTTGGTAGCCACTGCCCAGAGAGCTGTGTTGAGGATTCTGAGGTCACACCTAGGGGAGAGAGTGCTGTGATCCATTAGCAATGCCTGCCATGTGTGCCACTGTGAAAAACTAGCACAGACTAGGTTTTTTCCTTCCCTGGGTGAGTGTCTCAGCAGCTCAGACCAAGAGAGATGAGAGGCGTGGTCTAGTCTTGGAGCCTCAGTGTTCTCATCTCTAAAATGGACTAAAGGATGTTTCCAGCCACAGTATTCCTGGCTCCGAATACAGGTTCTGTCCTAGAGTGAGAACCAAGAAGGGAACGTGCCACCACCACCTCGTGGGTCTCCATTAGTCAAGGAACATTAGGAAAAAGCCACTGAAAATGAACCCACTTAAAAAGAGGAACAAGGCCAGGCATGATGGCTCATGCCTGTAATCCCAGCACTTTGGGAGGCCGAGGTGGGTGGATCGCTTGAGGTCAGGAGATCGAGACCAGCCTGGGCAACATGGTAAAACCCCGTCTCTACAAAAACATAAGAATTCTCCACGCGTGATGGTGCACAGCTACCGTCCCAGCTGCTGGGGAAGCTGAAGTGGGAGGATTGCTTTAGCCCAGGAGGTGGAGGCTGCAGTGAGCTGAGATCGCACCATAGCACTCCAGCCTGGGTGACAGAGCAAGAGACCCTATCCCTCCAAAAAAAAGAGATGGAAGGTACAGGTTTCTAGTAAATAGCAGCAAAAAACAGTGGAATTGGCATTCGAATATATAAAACAAAGCTACAAATTATTCCATTGATCTTGTCCAACATTTAACAAAATTCAGATGATGATTGAGTCTCTGTTTTAGAACACAGAGAAACAATATTTGGGGAGTGGGATGAAAAGGCCCCAAGTCTTCCAGCAATATCGCCTCATAGGGCAAGAGATTGACGACTTCTTGGTGGCGGTGGAGGTGTCGTTTTGGCCGTAGGATAACGCAGACGTTTCTGCAAAACTGTCGGAGGGCTTCTCAGTTCTCTCACAGGTTTCCTACTCCTCGGAGCACTTCCTGAATCTCCGAGGGTGCGTGTCCCGTGGAACCAGCTTCTGCAGAGCCCAGGCCTGCTCCTTGTCTGGGCGTTGGGACGTTTTCAGCATGAGGCCCCGACCCTCTCAGGGTGTGTGTGTGTGCACTGGCGGAGCGCCTGCCGCATCTGGGGGCATTTAGGATGTTGCCATTCTCAGTGGGAGCTTGGCCGGGTGCAGGGCTCCGGGGGAGGGTGCTGAGCTGGGACCAGCTAGGTTTTCATTATTTGTCATCAGGAGTGTGCCGTCTTCATAGCCAGCCTTGAAAGGTTGGCGCTCAGACAAGGAATTCGCAAGTGGTGAGGCCCCAGACTTACACCTTAGCAGCCCTTGGGTCTTCACGTTCGTCCAGGCCCAGGGACCCTGCGCCCACTCTTCTTCCAGCTCTCGAGAGGGTGGAGAGGAAGCGCCGCAGTCCCAGGCCACCCCCCACTGAGGCCTCTCTCCCCCGTAATCCTCCAGGCTGGGGCTGCCCCGCCCTCGTCTGCTACACAGATTACCTCCAGACGGTCATCTGCATCCTGGAGATGTGGAACCTCCACCCCAGCACGCTGACCCTCACCTGGTAAGTGGCCGGGCCTGGCCAGTCCCCAGGGATGCAACCCACCGTGTCCGCTCAGTGATTCCACCCCCAGGAGGCCGCTGCGCACAGAGGACCACAATGCCCGCCCTTCAGGCCCCCAGCTACATGTTTCCCATGAATGGTCACTCCCGACCCTCACAATGATTACTCCCATTTTACAGTTGAGGACACTGAGGTTCAGAGAGGTTAAGCAACTCACCCAAGGTCACACAGCCAGTGAATGCTGGAGCTGGGATTCAAATTCAAACTCCCCAACTCCAAAGTCCATGGGTCCCTTTGAGTCCATATGCAGCTCGGGATAAAGAAGAGCATCTGTTATCCATCAGCTCATTCATTCACTCAAAACACACAGGCCACGTGCAGTGGCTCACACTTCTAACCACTTTGGGAGGCTGAAGAAGGAGGATCATTTGAGCCCAGGAGTTTGAGACCAGCCTGGGCCACATCACAAAATTCTGTCTCTACAAAAAATAAATCAGTCGGGCCTGGTGGCACCATCCTGCAGTCCCAGCTACTTGGGTGTCTAAGGCAGAAGGACCAAGCTCAGAAGGTCAAGACTGCAGTGAGCCATGATCGCCTCTGCACTCCAGCCTGGACAGCAGAGCAAGATCCCATCTCAAAGACAAAACAAAGCATGTATTAAGTTCCTGCCAAACACTGTTGCAGGCACTGGGGATTCAGCAGAGCAGGGATGACTAGGGACCAGATATCCTAGAACTGACGTACTGCAGACAGAAGCACAAAACATCCAACAGGGTGCCTTCTCTTTTTTCTTTCTTTTTCTTTTTGAGACAGGGCCTTGCTCTGTTGCCCAGGCTGGAGTGTAGTGGTGTGATCAGAACTCACTATAGCCTCGGCCTCTCGGGCACAAGCAATCCTTCCTCCTCAGCCTCCCAAGTAGCTGGGACTACAGGCATGCATCACCACACCTGGAAAATGTTTGTAGCTTTTGGAAAGACAGCGTTTTGCCATGTTTCCCAGGCTGGATTCAAACTCCTGGGCTCAAGTGATCTGCCCACCTCAGCCTCCCACAGTGCTGGGATTACAGGCCCAAACACAGGCTACTTTTTTTTTTTTTTTTGAGACAAAGTCTCACTCTATCACCCAGGCTGGAGTGCAGGGGTACGATCTCGGCTCACTGCAACCTCCACTTCCCGGGTTCAAGCGATTCTCCTGCCTCGGCCTCCCAAGTAGTTGGGAGGTGCGCATCACCCCACCCAGCTAATTTTTGTATTTTATGTAGAGACAGGATTTTGTTATGTTTGCCAGGCTGGTCTCGAACTCCTGGCCTCAAGGGATCTGCCCACCTCGGCCTCCCAAAGTGTTGGGATTACAGGCATGAGACACTGTGCCCTGCCCCAAACAGAATACTTTCCAATAACAATGGGTGCTATAAAGAACGGGACACTGGACCGCAGGCAGAAGGGCCACATCCTCTGGTGAGAAGGAGCCAGCCCGCCAGCAGGGGAAAAGCCACTCCAGGCAGAGGGCACTGCCAGTGCAAAGGCCCTGCGGAAGAAGAGCCGGTGAGTTTGAGGAATAGCAAGGTCAGTGTGGCTGGAGTGGAGTGAGGCAGCGTGGGAGGTCAATAGCAAGCAAGTCCAGGCTGGGTGGCTTGCAAAGCATTTATTCAGCAGGAACTTCTACTCCAGCAAATTTAGCAGATAACTCAGTCTACACATCCCTGCTGGGCCTACAGAGTGATCGTGTTCAGAATCTGAACATCTAGATAGGGAAATTAGTATTTGGTGATCTCCTATGTATACTTCAAAACCCATCATTTTTGTCCAGTGGGAGTTAAAAAGTCACAGCATTTTCCCTAACTCCATCCCACCAGCTTTCCCAGAAGTCCAACCAGAGGAGGAGATGAGGTTTATTTAGATCTCATCCTAGCCCTCAGCACAGGCTCTTATGAGGCATTCAGTGGATGTTGGGGCCAAGCACAGCGGCTTACACCTGTAATCCCAGCACTTTGGGAGGCCAAGGCGAGCAGATCACTTGAGTCAGGGAGTTTGAAACCAGCCTAGGCAACATGGCAGAACCCCATCTCTACAGGAAATACAGAAAGTTAGCTGGGCACGGTGCTGCATGCATTTGATCCCAGCTACTCAGAAGGCTGAGGTAGGAGGATCAACTGAGCCCGGGAAGGCCGAGGCTGCAGTGAGCCGTGATCACACCATGACATTCCAGCCTAGGGGATAGAGTGAGACTGTCTCAAAAAAGTGGACATTGGACAGAAAGGAGAGAAGGAAACCCAAAATACCTATCACCCTTCCTGTGGGACAGCCATCTGGTTGTTGGGACCGACTGGGACAGATTTAGGCTTGGTCCAAGAAAGAATGGCCCAAATTTCCAAAACTGAGAGCTGCTGCCCTAAATGAGGTAGTGAGTTCCCAGTCCCTGGGAGGTATGCAAGCTGAGCCTGGACACAACTTATCAGGGATGGTGCAGGAGAGGGGATACCTTCCCTGGGAAAAGATTGGTTGGACCAGGTGACCCCTCCCAGCCCCGCCTCAAATCCCTCCCAACCCTGAGAGTCTAAGCTTCTGCCCTGGCCCTGAGCGTTGAGCCGCCGCCAGCCCCCACTGCCCCCAGCTTCCAGCCATGACCGGCTGCTCTGTCCTTGAAGGCAAGACCAGTATGAAGAGCTGAAGGACGAGGTCACCTCCTGCAGCCTCCACAGGTCGGCCCACAACGCCACGCATGCCACGTATACCTGCCACATGGATGTGTTCCACTTCATGGCCGATGACATTTTCAGTGTCAACATCACAGATCAGTCTGGCAACTACTCCCAGGAGTGTGGCAGCTTTGTCCTGGCTGACAGCAGTGAGTATCCTGAGCCCCCAGGCTTAGGGTGGGGCTCAATCTTAGCGTGCCGCAGCCCCAGCCTCTCCAGGCTCAGGTGATCCTCCCACCCCAGACTCCAGAGTCGCTGGGACAACAGGTGTGCGCCACCATGCCCAGCTGATTTTTTGATTTTTAGTAGAGACGGGGTCTTGCCATGTTGCTCAGGCTGGTCTCAAACTCCTGGGCTCAAGTGATCCACCTGCCTTGGCCTCCCAAAGTGCTAGGATTATAGGTGGGGGCTGGGACCCCTACTTGCTGCCCTCTGGGCCAGCTCTTTCCCTTCCATCAGATCTAACCTGGCCTATGTCCTCCTCATGTCTTAGAGTTCTGCTTTTGAGTTACACTATTTTTTACTAAAGTGTGAAGGGTTGATATTAGGTTTGAGCGATATGGAAGGAGCTGGCCTGGGACCTGGGACTTCTGGGCTCATGTTCTGGCTCAGCCCTGCCCTTCTGTGTGACCACGGTTGAGGCACACCTACCTCTGGGACAGCTTTCCTACTTGTAGAGCAAATGTCCTTTTAACCCTGACTCTCTGGGATCTTGTCCCCATAATAAGGTGAGTGGAGGACACTGAGTCACAGAAAAAAACCCTCCTGGGTTTCTTCCCCTTCATAAGCTCCAGGGAGGCCTGGAATTTCCCTCCAGGCTGGAGGTAGAGGGGGGTCCCAGGGGTAGGAGGGCCTGGTTGGTGGGAGCAGTTGTAGCTGTGAGTTCAGAACCAGGGCAGGTGGCAGGGCGAGGTGGCTCACACCTGGAATTCCAACATTTTGGGAGGCTGAGGCAGGAGAATTACTTGAACCTGGGAGCTTGAGAGCAGCCTGGGCAATATAGTGAGACTTCATCTCAAAACAACACAAAACGAGAACCAGGGCAGGGACCAGGCATGGTGGCTCATTCCTGTAATCCCAGCACTTTGGAAAGCCAAGGCGGTTTGATCATTTGAGGTCAGGAGTTCGAGACCAGCCTGGGCAACAAAGTGAAACCCCGTCTCTACTAAAAACACAAAATAATTAGCCAGGCGTGGTGGCGCACACCTGTAATCCCAGCTGCTTGGGACGCCAAGGCAGGAGAATTGTTTGAACCTGGGAGACAGAGGTTGCAGTGAGCCACAATCATACCACTGCATTCCAGCCTAGGCGACAGAGTGAGACTCCATCTCAAACAAAACAAAACAAAACCAGGGCAGGCCATGGAAGGGCCTGGAAGGTAGCTTTGGCGTGGTGGACATGGTGTGTGTGTGTGTGTGTGTGTACCCAAAGCAGCCCCAGAGGCAAATACACACTGCAAAAAGAGTCTGTCCTGGGGAGGCCCCGCCCCCGAGCTTGGGAGTTTCTGCCCTAAGATTCCCAGCGGAGGGGCTGGGTGATAAGAGGGTGTCTGTGATTCACACTCTGGGGGGGCAGGTTTGCACCTCTTTGCTGAGTGGATGTCACACCACAGAGGGCGAGAGTAAACATGCTCTCAGCATATGCACACTCACACACATTCCCAGCATCACAGACTCACACACACACACACTCAGAGATGCACCCTTAAACTCACAGATGTCTCCCCAGCCCCAGCCTGCATGGAGAGGACAGAGGCCCACACTGTCTCTCTCTTTTGCTCTCTCTCTTTTTTTTTTTGAGGCAGAGTCTCCCACTGTCACCTGGGCTGGAGTGCAGTGGCGCCATCCCAGCTCACTGCAACCTCCACCTCCCAGGTTCAAACGATTCACCTGCCTCAGCCTCCTGGGTAGCTGGGATTACAGGCATGCACCACCGTGCCCAGGTAATTTTTGTATTTTTAGTAGAGACGGGGTTTCACCATGTTGGCCAGGATGGTCTCGATCTCCTGACCTCGCGATCCGCCCACCTCGGCCTCCCAAAGTACTGGGATTACAGGCGTGAGCCACCGCGCCCAGCCTCTTTTGCTGTCTCTGTCTCCCCCACCACACGCTCACACACACGTACACATACATGCACACATACCCATGCACACATTCTAACACACACATTCTAACACACATACATTCACATTATGCACACATGCACTCTTTTACACCCGTGCACACACACGCACATGGACACTCACTCACGTACACACATGCAGACATACATGTAGTCACACACATGCACACACACACATACACATGCACACACACCCAAGCACACACTAACACATACATTCACATCATGCACACACATGCACTCTCTTACACACATGCACACACACAGGTGGACACTCACACATGCACTCTCACACATGTGCACACACATACATGTAGTCCCACACACACTCTCTCTCTTTCAGTCCCACGGATCTGGGATCCAGAACATGAGGTCCCCTGCACACGCATGCACTGTCTGGAGCTGGGGCCCCTCCAGCCTCTCCGAGTGAACCGAGGCAGGCAGCAGCCCCACCGCCCAGGCCACCCCACACCCCTCACCCCCACAGCTTCTCAGAAGCAGAGGAGAACTCAGGGCAGAGAAGGGACTCCCCCTTGCCACTTCTCTTGCAGCATGAATCCAATCATTTCTCTCTGGCATCCCCTCTCTCCCTGCCAGGATCTGCAGCTAGCCTAGGCCCAGCTGGGGCAATAAGTGATTTTCTTTTTTTTTTTTTTTTGAGACGGAGTCTTGCTCTGTCACCAGTGCTGGAGTGCAGTGGCGCAATCTCAGCTGACTGCAATCTCCACCTCTCAGGTTCAAGCAATTCTCCTGCCTCAGCCTCCCATGTAGCTGGGATTACAGGTGCCCACAACCACGCCCAGCTAATTTTTTGTATTTTTAGTAGAGATGGGGTTTCACTATGTTGGCCAGGCTGGTCTCAAACTCCTAACCTCATGATCCACCCACCTCGGCCTCCCAAAGTGCTGGAATTACAGGCATGAGCCACCGCACCCAATCAGTAACTGATTTTCTGACCACCGCCTGCACAGGGTCCCTTCATCCTCCTGGGCCCCAGGCCTCGCTGGGCTGAGCAGCACCCCCTTCCCGATCCCCAGGCTTTGCAAACATCTCCGGGGCACCCATGGGGAAGTTCTCAGCACCCTGGTGTCTACTGGGACTGATCTTCGCCCAGGCCACACAGGGAAGCCCAGAGCCGGCCTCCACCTGCCCCAGGGCAGACAAAGGAGGGGTTAGAAATGATTTCAGTCACATACATCCCATGGCTGGAGCAGCGACAGCAACAACCCGGTGTTCACCGTGGCATTTTGGGTGAACCTCGGCCGGGTGCAGTGACTCACTCCTGTAATCCTGGAATTTTGGGAGGCCAAGGCCAGCAGATCACAAGGTCAAGAGATCGAGACCATGCTGGCCAACATGGTGAAACACTGTCTCTACTAAAAATACAAAAAAAAAAAACTGGGCATGGTGGCCTACGCCTGTAATCCCAGCTACTTGGGAAGCTGAGGCAGGAGAGTCGCTTGAACCTTGGAGGCAGAGGTTGCAGTGAGCTGAGATCCAGCCTGGCGACAGAGTGAGACTCCATCTCCACCAAAAAAAAACAAAACAAGACAAAACCAAAAAGAACGTGCACCTCTGTCGCCTCGGGGTGTGGTGGGAGCCCTCAGCCATGTTTCAGGATCACAGGCAGCCTCAGAACTCCTTTCTGGAAGCCTTGAAAGGTTCATTTGTTAATTTGACAAATGTATATGAATATATAACAGCCCATTGCAGCCTGGGACTCCTGGGCTCAAGCGATCCTCCCAGTTCAGCCTCCTGAGTAGCTGGGACTACAGGTGCACATCACCATGCCTGGCAAATTTTTAAATCTTTTTGTAGAGCTGGGATCCTGCTGTGTTGCCCAGGCTGGTCTTAAACCCCTGGCCTCAAGCAATCTTCCCGCCTTAGCCTCCTAAAGTGCTGAGATTTTAGGCGTGAGCCACCTCACCCAGCCTAATTTGCCAAGTATTTATTGAGGGCCTACTGTGTCCCAGGCTGTGTTCTAGGAGCTGTGGGCATGGACTGAATATGGAGGACAAAACCTCCACCCCAAGGAGCTAAGAGTCCAGCGAGGGGGGCACACGGTAAAAACATCACAGGGTGAGATGTGCAGAGTGCTAGATGGTGGCAGGTGGAAAGTGGAGCAGACAGTCAGGCGCAGTGGCTCACGCCTCTAATCCCAGCACTTTGGGAGGCTGAGGCGGGCGGATCACTTGAGGTCAGGAGTTCAAGACCAGCCTGGCCAACATGGTGAAACCCCATCTCTACTAAAAATACAAAAATTAGCCGGGCATGGTGGTGCGCACCTATAGTCCCAGCTACTTGGGAGGCTGAGGCCTTGGAATCGCTTGTGTTTGGGAGGCGGAGGTTGCAGCGAGCTGAGATCATGCTGTTGCATTCCAGCCCGGGTGACAGAGAAAGATTCTGTGTCCAAAATAAAAGAAAGAAAGAAAAGAAAGAAGAGAGGAAAGAAAGAAAGAGAGATAGAAGAAAGGAAGGGAGGGAGGGAGGGAGGGAAGAAGGGGAAGGAAGGAAGGAAGAAAGGAAGGGAGGGAGGGAGGGAGGGAGGGAGGGAGGCAGGCAGGCAAAGACAGAAAGTGGAGAAGATGAGGCCAGAGGCCTGCAAGTCCTCTCTGACACTAATAGACACTTGTCACTTGGTTCCCCTGAAGTTATCACCTCCTGCTAAATAGCTTCATCCCTTTGAACTTGAAGTCTCATGATACAGAAGCTGGGCCCATTTTACAAGAGAGGAATTTAAGGGTCTTAACATATTGTGTTCTGCTCAAGTCCACAAAATGTCCTTCAGATGGGGCAAAACTAGAATACCGGCTTTGACCTTCATCTTGAGGCTGTCCATGAAAGCTGACTGTTACTGCCCAGAGCTTGGCTCTTGCACTTTCTGGGAGATGCTGAAAGATGAGGACCATCAGATCGGCCTCCCATGGCCACTGTGCGGTGTCTGCCCGGAGCAGGGCAGCCAGGCATGCTCTGAGTAAACGGCAACCCTCATCATTAGCATTCATGCTAGGAAGAGTCTTCAACTTCTTGAAGTAGCTGGGGTTGAAAGAAAATGATACCATCATTTAGAACAGAAATGGAAAATGAATGGATTTGCCAGCACATTGCTGAGAACATTTTTGGATGGGGAGCTAACTTTAAAACTTAAGATAGGCCGGGTACAGTGGCTTGTACCTGCAATTCCAGCATTTGGGGAGGCTGAGGTGGGAGGATCACTTGAAGCCAGGAGTTTGAGACCAGCCTGGGCAAACATAGTGAGACCCTGTTTGTACAAAATAGAAAAAATAATAGCCAGGTGTGGTAGCGCCCACCTGTAGTCCCAACTACTTGGGAGGCTGAGGTGGGAGGATGGGTTGAGCCCAGGAGGTTGAGGCTGCAGTGAGCTATGACCGCACCACTGCACTCCAGCCTGGACCACACAGTGAGATCATGTCTCTAAGGGGAAAAAAATCCTTGTGAGATTTCACACGATAATTCCGGGGGCCTCCTGTTTCCCATTCTGCAGCTCATACTGAAACTTGCCTCGCAGTGCATGGAAAGCAGGATTTCAGATTTCATGTGTGTGTGTGTGCATTTATGCATGTGTGTGTGCATGCATGTGTGCGTGTGCTTGCACATACATGTGCATGTGCGCATGTGTGTGTGCGTGTGCATGTGTACATGTGATTGCGTGTATGTACATGTGTGTGTATGTGTGTGCATGTGTTTCCCTAGAAAACTTAGAAAAGCTTACCACTCTCTGTTGCTGAAGCTATTCACTTTTAACTCTTTCATTTCTTCACAATCCCTAAACCTGCTTCACCCATCTCTGTGACCTGCCCGCCCCTGAGTTTGCAACCCTGATCAAGTCTGAGTCCCTCAGGTTCCAGAAGAATACACAGAAGCCCAGAGTCAGGAATACTTTGCGCAAAGTCACTCAGGGTTGTCTCCATCTCATGGGTCAGGCATGGTGGGCGGGGGCAGGTAGGACTTCTTCCCATCAGCAAATCCTTTTCACCTGCAGCAAAATCTCACGCCATTTTCTCTTCCTGGGTTTCTCCACCCAGTCAAGCCGGCTCCCCCTTTCAACGTGACCGTGACCTTCTCAGGACAGTATAATATCTCCTGGCGCTCGGATTATGAAGACCCTGATTTCTTCATGCTGAAGGGCAAGCTTCAGTATGAGCTGCAGTACAGGAACCGGGGAGACCCCTGGGCTGTGGTGAGGAATGTGGGGATCGGGGCAGATAAGTGGGGGAAGGGCAGGGGAGAGAAGGGAGCGCAAGGGCGTCTGTGTGGGAGAGACGGGTGAGCATTGTCATTCATGGCCAAGAACAGAGACCAAGGGTGCGAGCACCCCCTTATAGCGGTCCCTCCTCCCTCCCCTCACTTCTCCCCAGGGTAGGAGACCCCTGAATAATCTGTCCTCTCTGTGCCTGTCCCCTCCACTGTCAGCATGCCAAAGAGACTGTCCCTTCCCCAGGCTCCACCCCAGGTCTAGTGTAGTCACAATAGAAGAAATTTCAGGCACGTGGCAATCTGGAAGCTTCCCACTTGCTTAAAATGGCCATAGTTGGAGAGGTTCAGAAGTATCCGTGATTAAGAAGGTCCAGCCTGGTGCGGTGACTCATGCCTGTAATCCCAGCATTTTGGGAGGCCAAGGCGGGTGGATTTCTTGAGGTCAGGAGTTCAAGACCAGCCTGGACAACATGGTGAAACTCTGTTTCTACTAAAAGTGCAAAAAGTAGCCAGGTGTGGTGATATGCACCTGTAATCCCAGCTACTCTGGAGGCTTAGGCAGAAGAATTGCTTGAATCCAGGAGGCAGATGTTGCAGTGAGCTGGGATTGTGCCACTGCACTCTAGCCTGGGCAACAGTGCAAGACTCAATCTCAAAAAAGAAAAAAAAAGTCCAGTGTTAGAGGGCTCACTGCTTCAAACATGAAGGCTTTGAGAGGTGTCCTTCCAGCCCACTATTTAGAACAGTCACAAGTGAGATCCTGTTTCTAAAAACTACAAATAGTAATAATGATAGAACAGTCACAGCTGAAGAGTTCTAGAATTGCCCATCCTTTAGAATAGCCCCAGCTGAAGATGTCCATGAGTATCATACTTTAGAAAGTTCCCAGTGGAAGATTTCCAGAGGTATCTATTGCTAAGATGTCTGTAGTTAAAGACTTCTAGAAATGCCCACTGTTGGGAATGTCAGTATGTCAACTCTTGGAATTTTCAACAGTTGAAGACACTCTCAATTGAGTTATTGAGACTTAAACCAATGCATCAGTTTAGAATGTCTTCAACTGTTGAAGAATTCCAAAAGTATACATTGCCTGGGATACTGCCAGACCATTGCCATTCCTGAGATATGCCCAGTACTGCAGGGAGAGTTCACTGCCAGGACCGTGAATGGGTGAATTGGAATCAAAGAGAAATCAAACAGAACATCCTATCACAGGCAAGGGCCAGGCAGTGCTGGTGAGTCTGTGCTGCCCATGCCTGAGTCTGGCTACTCAGGCATAAGCCTGATTCTTGTGGGAAGAAAAGAGACGCTCAGCCCCTCCGATGGAAGCTGGGAAAGAGGTGGCTCTGCTGGAGGCAGGGGCTGGCCTGGTTGCAGCCTGACCTGGTGCATCCTTTCCTTGTACTGGCAGAGTCCAAGGAGAAAGCTGATCTCAGTGGACTCAAGAAGTGTCTCCCTCCTCCCCTTGGAGTTCCGCAAAGACTCGAGCTATGAGCTGCAGGTGCGGGCAGGGCCCATGCCTGGCTCCTCCTACCAGGGGACCTGGAGCGAGTGGAGTGACCCGGTCATCTTTCAGACCCAGTCAGAGGGTAGGTGTGAAGCTGGGATGGACACCCCACTCCTGGTACCAAATCTTGTCCTGGTCTAGCCACCGTAAGCCCTGAGCTGTCTGGCACAGCTGGGAGGTATTCAGTTGTTCATCCCCAGATGTAGCCCTTCAGTGCCATTTCTAGAGCCCCTGCTGGCCAGGCCCTGTGCTGGATGCCAGCTGCTGCTTCTTCTGTTAGGCATTTGATACTCCTAACTCTGAAGTGGGAACAGCCCCATTTTTCAGATGAGATAACTGAGGCTCAGAGAAATGAAGTTACTTGCCTGGGATGAGGAATGAGAACAAGATTTGAACCATCTCACTTCAAGACACTAGCAGTAGCAGCCTCTCCCACCCCTTTCCACTCTACCCCAGACCCATTTCCCACCACGCCTACCGCACGTGGCCTCTGGTAGAGTTGGTGCCCTTTAACCCTTTGCTTCCCTTCCAGAATTAAAGGAAGGCTGGAACCCTCACCTGCTGCTTCTCCTCCTGCTTGTCATAGTCTTCATTCCTGCCTTCTGGGGACTGAAGACCCACCCAGCATGGAGGTGAGGCCATGAGGAAGGCAGGGAGGTGGTCGGGCTGGGCCGCTGCCCCTCTATGGCACACCCAGGGTTGGAGAACATGCCTGTCATCACGATCACAATGACGACGATGGGATAATAACCAGCTCACAGCCACTGCGTGGACACCGTGCAGGGCACTCACTTCACTCCCATGGCAGCCCTATGAGCTTGAGACACTGCAGTTGCCCCTGTTTTACAAATGGGGAAGCTGAGGCATGGAGAGGTCAAGGAATTTGCCCAAAGTCACACAGCTCCGAGGTGGAGAAATTGGGATTGAAACTCTGGGCCCTTAAACAGGGACCTCAGCTGTGATCTTGTCCAGTAGATTCTAAGCTTTGAGGCCCGTGGGGCATCAGGGGCCACCAGGTCGTGGTGAAGAGGTGGGTGCAATACTACACACCTCTGAGATGGCGTCTCTGTGCACTCCTGGGTGCAGATAAAGAAGTTGAGGCTCAGAAGGGGCAGCATTTGCCCAATGCAGCACAGGCAGCCAAGAACATAACCTCGATACCCCTCCAGGAGCCTGCAAGGGAGACTCGCTGCTCCCAGATGGAGGAACCAAGCCCTGGGGAAGGAGGGAGGCACCTGGGCTGTGTCTTGTGGTAGTCAGAAGCTCCTGTAGGATAAATCTGGGGAGTGTCCGAATGGGAAGCCAGGCTGGCCTCTGGTGAGTCAGGGCCTCACCCTTTCTGCCCCTCAGGCTGTGGAAGAAGACATGGGTCGTCCCCAGCCCTGAGAATTTCTTCCTGCCTCTCTACAAGTGCTACGGAGGAGACTTCAAGGTGAGCAACCCACCCTGTGATGAGTCCCTCTGAGCCCCTCCTTCTCTTCAGGAGCCCCACCCCCCCATCCCAGGCCCCCCAGTCTCACCCCACAGGCCTAGAGCATCCAGATCTCAGTCAAGCCACAAGCCAGGCCTTAGTTTCCCCATGTGCGAAGTGCAGACAGTTATTCTTGTGGTGGAGAATTGGCAGGAGAATTAAACAAGATCTGACCAGATATCCTTCAACTGTTGAAGAATTCCAAAAGTATGCATTGCCTGGGATCCTGCCAGACCATTGCCACTCCTGAGATATGCCCAGTCCTGCAGGGAGAGTTCACTGCCAGGACCGTGAATGGGTGAATTGGTACGGTGGCTCACGTCTTTAGTCCCAGCACTTTGGGAGGCCAAAGCGAGATGGTGCATGCCTGTAGTCCCAGCTACTTGGGAGGCTGAGGCAGGAGGATCGTTCCTAGGCTGCAGTGAGCTACGATCACACCACTGCACTCCAGCCTGGGCAACAGACAGAGACGCTGTCTAAAAAAAATCAAATCAAAAAGAAACATTAAGCAAGAGCATGCAGCATTGCCCAGCGCAAGGAGCCAGACTGGGAGAGGGAGTGAGGCTGGTGGTCTCAAGTCACAGATTGCCACCCCCCCCCACAGTGGCCCAGTCCTTTCCCAGGTGCCCTTAATCTGGGTTGGAGAGGGAGTGGGTTCTGGGAAGGGTCTGGCCTCCCGGAGCAAAACACACCAATCTTTGCCAAGCCTCCACCTCACCACCGCCCACCAGCACCCACAGGAGTGTCTGTGCCCATTTACAGCTGTGTCACCCACCCTGCAGCAGTGGGAGGGGCTGCTGCAAAGAGGATGTGGTGACAGAGGTGGGAGGGGCAGTCCCACCTGCTGCAGCCGAGCCTGAAAGTCAGACAATACAGACCTAGAGCACTGACTGGGCTCCTCCTGCCTCACTCATTCTCATATAGCAGCCCCTGTGGAGTGGGTGTTCCACTGCCCCCGGGGCACCCACGAGGAGGCCAAGGCTCAGAACAGGCAGGGAGGAACCTGAACTCCAACTCACGTAAAACCCACCATTTCCTCTTCCCTAAAGCTCAAATATCACATTTATTTTTGGTTGATTTTTACCAAGACTCATATAGCACTTGCTATATACCAGGGAGTCCACTAGGAGCATCACATACAGCGACTCACTTAGCCCTCACGACGACCCTATGGGTGGGTGCTATAATTAGGTCCATTTTCCAGATGAGGAAACTGAGGCACAGAGAGGGTAATTGGCTTAAGGGCACACAGCTGAGAAGTGACTTCAAATCAGTGGCGGTGGCCACATGACGGTTCAGATGAGTTTTTGAAGAAGATGAGCTCAAAACAGGGAGATTCCCATTCTCGGGGATTGTCCTTGCCAATTGCATGGGGATTCTGGTGTCATGAGTGGGAGTCCTGGCAGGGGAGGGAAGGAGGGTCCTTCAAGTTTAAGGGCCACTGCCTCAGCCAGCGTCACCTACATCCTTTATCCTCAAAGTGTACAAAGGCCTTTCCAAGTGGCTTTTCACTGATTCACTCCACTCATTAGTTAATAAACATTTATTGAGCACCTACTGTGTGCTAGACACTGGGGATACAGCCATGGACGGAAGAGACAAGACTTGTGCCTGGGGCCAAGTGTCTGTCTGGTGGGGACACATAAACCAGGAGAGCGCTGGGTTTCAAGAAACATCAAGGAGGAGGGAAAGGAGGAGATGGCTCAGGTGTCACTCAGACCTCAGGCCCTCCTGCCCTCATGTCTCCTTGACTCAGGTATCTTAGCTCCTGCTGGGGCTATGGGACCACCAGCTGTTTGAATGGTCAGGCTACTAAGGGTAGCAGCTCCCTTCCACAAGTGGGGAAACTGAGGCCCAGAGTAGGAGGGGGACACCAGTGGGGACCCCCACTATGGTGGGAGCACATCATGGTCCCGATTCCTCCCTCCCTCCCTCCCTCCCTCTCTCTCTCCCAACCCTCTCTGAGTGTCTTTGTCTATTTTCATGTCTCTTTCTCTCTTGATGTCTCTTTGTCTCTGTGTCTATGTCTTTCTGCCAGTTTAAACCCTCACCTTGGCTGGGGCGCAGTGGCTCACCCCTGTAATCCCAGCGATTTGGGAGGCCAAGGCGGGTGGATCACCTGAGGTCAGGAGTTCAAGACCAGTCTGGCCAATATGGTAAAACCCCGTCTCTACTAAAAATACAAAAATTAGCTGGGTGTGGGGGTGCATGCCTATTAGTACCAGCTACTTGGGAGGCTGAGGCAGGAGAATCACTTGAACCTGGGAGGCAGAGGTTGCGGTGAGCCGAGATGGCGCCACTGCACTCCAGCCTGGGCAACAGAGTCAGACTGTCTCAAAAGAAGAAAAGTAAAAAAATAAGAAAACCCTTGCTTTACACTCGTCCTGTGCTATGACTCTCTCTTTTTCTCTCACACAGAAATGGGTGGGTGCACCCCTCACCGCCTCCATCCTGGAGCTGGGACCCTGGAGCCCAGAGGTACCCTCAGCCCTGGAGGTGTACAGTTGCCACCTACCACAGAGTCTGGCCAAGAGGCTGCAGCTCACGGAGCTGCGAGAACCGGCAGAGCTGGTGGAGTCTGACAGCGCGCCCAAGCCCAGCTCCTGGGCCACGGTCCAGAACTCCGGGGGCTCAGCCTACAGCGAGGAGGGGGACCGGCCGTACGGCCTGCTGTCCATCGACACAGTGACTGTGCTAGATGCAGAGGGGCTGTGCACCGGGCCTTGCAGCTGTGAGGATGACGGCTACCCAGCCCTGGATCTGGACGCCGGCCTTGAGCCCAGCCCAGGCCTAGCGGACCCACTCTTGGATGCGGGCACCACAGTCCTCTCCTGTGGCTGTGTCTCGGCTGGCAGTCCTGGGCTAGGAGGGCCCTTGGGAAGCCTCCTGGACAGACTAAAGCCATCCCTTGCAGATGGGGAGGACTGGGCTGGGGGCCTGCCCTGGGGTGGCCGGTCACCCGGAGGGGCCTTAGAGAGTGAGGCGGGCTCGCCCCCGGCCGGCCTGGATATGGACACGTTTGACAGTGGCTTCGCGGGCTCTGACTGCAGCAGCCCTGTGGAGTGTGACTTCACCAGTCCTGGGGACGAAGGACCCCCTCGGAGCTACCTCCGCCAGTGGGTGGTCATTCCCTCGACACTCTCGAACCCTGGACCCCAGGCCAGCTAGTGAGGCTGACTAGCTGTCCAGAGCTGGCCACTGGCTACCGGGTCCTGAGCCAGAGACAAGGCCACCTGGGCTGTGATTGAAGACACCTGCAGCCTTTGGGCTCCCAGATGAGCCTTTGAGCCTGATGTTTACAGTGTCTGTGTGTGCATGTGTGTGCATGTGTGCCTGTGTGTGCATGTGTAGGTGCATATGTTTGCATGTCTGTAGGTGCATATGTGTGCATGCCTGTAGGTGCATGTATGTGCATATGTGCGTGTGTGTACGCACATGTGTGTGCATGTATGTGTGTGTGGGTACATATGTGTGCATGTGTGTAGGTGCGTGTGTGCGTGTGTGTGCATTGGTGCATGTATATGTGCATGTGTGTGCATGTGTGGGTGCATGTGTGTGCATGCATGTGTAGATGCATGTGTGTATGTGCATGTGTGTGTGTGTGCATGTGTGTGTTGGTGCATGTATATGTGCATGTGTGTGCATGTGTGGGTGCATGTGTGTGCATGCATGTGTAGGTGCATGTGTGTATGTGCATGTGTGTGCGTGTGTGTTGGTGCATGTGTGTGTGTCTCAGGTGTGGGCACAGTGACGTGTCCACGTGTGTGTGTGACTGCACGTGCCTGTGGACCTGGAGAATGCTCATGGTACTCTATGCATTCAGGGCCCAGGGAGCTCACCCGAGTGTACCAGGGTGCACAGCAAACGTGTCCGTGGGCAATGGATGACAACAGCCTTCGTCCTTGCTGGGGTCTTGTGTTACAAACCAGACCCCTCCAGGGCCTTGAGGGATCAAGGCATTGCTTGAGGCAGAGGCCAAGCCCAGCCCTCCAGCATCTGCCTCCAGGAGCTGCAAGAAGTTCATATGGTTCCTTGTCACCAGCCAGCAGGAAGGGAAAGGGGTTGCAGTGACCCCACGGTGACCTCACCCCAGGTTGGGAAGATTCTGGGCAACCCATGGAGGAAAGTCTGAATCTCGACTCTGATACCTTCTGGCTGTGCTACCTGAGCCAAGTTGCCTCCCCTCTCTGGGCTAGAGGTTCTTTGTCCGGACAGTGCGGAAGGCATGCCCCACCTGGGGGAAACTGGTGCTGTCACCTGTGTCTAGTACGCAGCCCAGAGCAGACCCTCAGTATACGTCAGCTTCCTTCCTTCTGAGGCCACAGCGGAGGCTTGCACAGGAGGTAGGCGGGGGTGAGAACACCCATCATCCCCGACAGCCTGGGCGCCCGTGGGGCTGTCCCGCCTGCAGAGGGCCACTTGGGGGGGTTTCCAGGCTTAAAACCAGTCCGTCTCGTCTCTTGGAAACAGCTCCCCAGCAACCAAGATTTCTTTTTCTGACTTCTGCTACTACGTTTTTAAAAATTCCGTTTGTGCACCCAAGAGATATTTATTAAACATCAATTACGTGGCAGGCCAAGGCTCATGGGACCCCCCTCCCCCGCCGTGGCACTCATGAGGGAGGGTGCGGGCCGAAACCAGGCAGTGCCCTCCAGCCGCACATCCTGCTGTACCCCCCCCCCCTGCCCCAATTCAGCAATTCAATCCAGCGTCTTACTTGTTCATCCTGGAGAATTAGAGGGAGGTCAAGTTGTGTGTCAATGATTTGTCAGAGAACCTGTTGAAATGTGAATTAAGAAGCTAAGAAAATACTTCTTAGCAACATTTTGTTTTACTTTTGAGACAGAGTCTTAGTCTGTCGCCCAGGCTGGAGTGCAGTGATGTGATCTCGGCTCACTGCAGCCTTTGCCTCCTGGGTTCAAGCTATTCTCCTGCCTCAGCCTCCCGAGTAGCTGGAATTACAGGCATGCACCACCACGCCTGGCTAATTTTTGTATTTTTAGTAGAGACGGGGCTTCCCCATGTTGGCCAGGCTGGTCTCAAACTCCTGACCTCAAATGATCTGCCTGCCTCAGCCTCTCAAAGTGCTGGGATTACAGGCGTGAGCCACCATGCCCAGCCCCTTAGCAAAATTCTCAAGGCACCTCACTGAATATCAGTTTAGTATGGAAGCTAGATGTAGATGCTAGGTATTGCATAAAACTCATCTCTCGCTCCTCTCTTTCTCTCTCTTTCTCTACACACACACACACACACACACACACACACACACACATTTTTAAAGAAAATATGTTGTTTTCCCCCCAAAGGGTGCCCATCCTAGAAGTGGCTTGGGTTTTTGAAGACCAAGCAAGGTTACAGCAGCAGAGAGTGTGATTCAGCTCCAGAGCTGAGAGATGGAGACATAGTCCTGGTAATAGCTCTTGAGCTCCTGGATCCAGCCATGCCTGAAACCACGTTTCTACCAGACCATTTAGATATGAGAATGGAAGTCATTATGATGTTCACCAAATATTTCCACCCCCTGCACCTGCACCCTGGGGAGTCTTGGGAACCTGGAGGAGGACCCCTGCCCTGGCCTAGTCCTGCTGTCCTCCCCAAAGGCCAGACTGCAAGTGGCAGGGCCGTGGTGGAGGAGCCAGCTCTGGCTTTTGGAGCAGGGTTGGGTTGGAAGTCAGCAGAAGTCAGTCCTGTTGAAGGCTCCTTTGTGACTCATCTGTGAAGTGGGGTAGTTGGGAGAGGTCGCTGAGAGAATGCATGAGAGTCCCTGGTGCCTCGCAGGAGGCTGGAAGATTCTAGAATGCTGATGGCTATAAGAGTGGGACTGTGAGCCTGGGATCGGGGAGTGTGAGACTCGGATGGGAGCGAGAGAGTGGAAGCACAGCTTCTGCATGGGGGAGCAGCCCTCACCACCCCTACACCCACACCTGCACCCTAGGGAGTCTTGGGTCCAGATGTGCTGTGGTTTTCACATCCTCTTGGGGGCATCAGGTTCCAGGAGCCACCTGTGGGTGCCACCTGAGCGACAGGCTCTCAGGACACCAGCACAGCTCTCCTGCACCCAGAGCTCGCCGGGTGAGGGAGGGGAACACGGATGGTTGGGGAGGGCCTGACTGAGGCCAGATGGGGGGTGCTCTGGACTGGAGCAGACGAGCCTCCTTAGAATCCCACCTTTGAAGGGAACTCAGCTCATAAACATGGGGGAGCGAAGTTGGAGGCTGTGCGCAGTGGCTCATGCCTGTGATCCCTGCACTTTGGGAGGCTGAAGCAGGTGGATCACTTGAGGCCAGGAGTTCAAGGCCAGCTTGGGAAACATAGCAAGACCCCATCTCTACAAAAATTATTTTTAAAAAAATTATCCAGGCGCTGTGGTGCTTGCCTGTAGTCCCAGCTACTCGGGAGGCTAAGGTGGGAGGAGCGCCTGAGCCCAGAAGCCTGAGGCTGCAGTGAGCTGTGACTGCACCACTGCACTCCAGCACGGGTCACAGATCAAGACCCTGTCTCTTAAAAAAAAACAAGTTGGAGACAAGAGCTGGCTCACCTAGAAGGACGGATTAGTAGGTGGGAGGGTGGACGGAGGATGGATGGATGTGTGGATGGATAGAAGGGTCGTATTAGGTTGGTGCAAACGTCTTTGCTATTACTCTTAATGGCTTTGATAACACGTTTGAAGGAAGAATGTTTGGTTGGATAGAGATAAACAGATACTGGAGACAAAGGTGAAGAGAAAACACAAGTCTACAGGCCAGCAACTCTATTTTGTTCACTACCTTTAGTCCCAGCCTGGCACATAGTAGGCACTCAATAAAGCCTGATTTGTAGCATTTGCTTATTTCCATGGTATAATTTCAAGTGCCTGATTTCAGTCTAAACAGAGTTGGGAAGAGATATACACAATCTGCTCTCTTGGCTGGTATGAGCGAGTCCCAGCTCACTTACGGATGGTAACCCAGACAGCACATCAAGAGGGCCAGGAGGCTTCAGGGAGGAGGTGGTGTTGGTTGGACTTTGAAAAATGAATAGGAGGCTGGGAGCAGTGGCTCATGACTGTAATCCTAGCACTTTGGGAGGCTGAGGTGGACAGACCATTTGAGGTCAGGAGTTCAAGACCAGCCTGGGCAACATGGTAAAACCCAGTCTCTACTAAAAATACAAAAATTAGCTGGGTGTGGTGGCACGCGCCTGTAATCCCAGCTGCTTGGAAGGATGAGGCAGGAGAATCCAGGAGGCGGAGGTGCAGCAAGCAGATGGCACCACTGCACTCCATCCTGGGCGACAGAGCAAGACTCTGTCTCAAAAATAAAAATAAAAAAAGGAAAAATGAATAGGAGTTGTCAGATGTACCAGTTATTTGGGGCAGAGGGAGGAGCTTGGACAAAGGCCTGGAAGTATGACTAAGGGTCAGAAGCAAGTGGGACTGGCGGCTCCTTGCCTTCCAAAGACCAGGCCAGGATCACTAAAGACCCTCACTTAAGAGGAAGGGGGACCCACTGCAACACTTTCCCAGCTGTGTTGGGAAACACTCCTCACCTTGCCGTCTGCAAGCGCCGAGGCAGACTCATCCATTTGACAGATGAAATGAAGGTACAGCACAGGCTGATGATCTGCCTGAGGTCACACACTGAATGAGTGGTCGGAGTCGGAACCAGAACTCTGGGCTCCTGAGGTCAATTTCAGTTCTTTTTCACCATGCTCTGCTGGGAAGCATGTAGATCCAGAGGTTAGGAAGGTTTAGCAGACCCCTGTGGGTGCTGCTGCATCTGCCGGTGCTGTAGCCTGGGGATATGGCTGACCCACGCTCTGGGAGTGGCTACGTGACCCAGGCCTGGCCAATAGGACATTCCTTCCCCCTGGCAACAGTACAGTTTAGGGACAGACATACCCTAGCTGGTTCATACTCTTTCTGCTGGGATTACTGAGCTGTAAAGAGGGGACTGGAGTGGTAGCAAGAAACACACAAGAAAGCAGAGCTGAGAGATGGAGACATAGTCCTGGTAATAGCTCTTGAGCTCCTGGATCCAGCCGTGCCTGAAACCACATTTCTCCTGGACCATTTAGATACATGAGTATAGAAGTCATTATGCTGTTCACCAAATATTTCCAGCTTTTGGCCTTCTGGGCACATGGCAGGATTGTGCCTCCTGACCCTCTGTAGCCAGATGGGGCCACGTGACTGGAAGGGACTAGCCAGTTGTGAGCAGAAGTGGTAAGTCTCACTTTTGGGCAGAGCATTTTTCAGGTGGCTGCCACGCCCCCTAGAGTGTTTTCCTGTCTGTCACAGA